GAGCCGATTTACGAGATCATTACAGGGAAGAAAAGAATGAAAGCACAACAATAAATTTTTAAGCACGGGATCCCTTTTGATTATACTTATTTGGATTTTCCAGTGAATGCATATAAACACCGAACATGTATTTTTACCATTAAATGAAGATAGATTTGTCGTTTTATTGCACTACATTTTGTTTTCTAAATTTAATGATTTTCTTGTCTTTAATTACGTGAACGTTTTCTTATGAATAAAGTTTATGAAATCTCACTCTTTGTTTCTTTCTTGGACATACATACTTTATTGCGACAAAGTTCATAAAGTCTCTCTTCAATTTAATTTATTCTTGACCAACCGATGAAGTTTTGCTAGAGGAGAGTCTCGAGCAATATTCTTGACAGCGGCACAACAATGGCAATACCAGCTTCCATGAGGCACACTGCCAAGGGGCAGACTCAAGCAGTATGAGTGATACTCTGCATCGTACACTCTGCGTAAATGAGAACCTTCTTATTTTTTTTCTTTTCTTGATCAATACCACAACAACTCTACACACATTTGAGAACGTAAACATATTCGAGATCCTTTCTTTGAATCCCCATGTTTTGGAATAATGCCACACATTTTAATCCTTACATTTGAAAGAGGTACATATTTTCTATGTATCTATCACTTGAATCTGTGCATATCTGAGTTCTTTTAATCTAGTATGGTTATTCTTGCTTTACTCACATAACCCTTGTTTGTTTGTTTGTTTGTTTTGTTTTTTTTTTAAACTTATTTAGGTAGTTAATTTTTGTCCACAGATTGTTGATGATGTTTCCCAAAGCACCGTGGGATGAAGGGTTACGTTGATGGACAAAATAAGAAGATTCTACTTTACGACAAAAATGATGCAGAGTATCACACATATTGTTTGTGTCCGCCCGTTGCCAGTGTGCCTCACAGAAGTTGACTTTGCTCTTGTTGTGCCGCTGACAAGAGTATTGCCCGAGATTCTCCTTCTACCAACACCGGTTGGTCAAAAGCAAATTAAAGAAACGGAAGAGAAATTTCGTCACTTACATGTATGTAGTTCACTAAATGTGGACATGTCTACAGTAGATAATGGTTGATAAAATCAAGCATGATTTATTAATTTAATTATTTTTATTTCTTTTATTTTAATTAGTTCCATAATATTTTTAAGTCGACTCATAATTATAGGGAAAAAAAAGAGGTTTTATCATCATTTATCTATAAAAAAAGGTTTATTATGATACCTTCTTTATGTTTTGTAAAAAAAATAGTGTGGCGTGGTTAGATAGATTTTGAATAGTGAGTAAGTAGACTCCCATTATTATATGAGCGAACAAAAAAAAAGTGAAAACACATAAGCCAAATCGGAAAACAACCCCTGTCCAAGGGCGGTGTCGCAGCTGGTGGTGCCGCTGTCTGATTGGCGGAGAACTGTTCCATCTTGTTGGTGGTGAAGTGTGTATGGTTCGGCATTACTTTGTTTATATGTAGGGTTGGGTCAGGTCGGTCGATTATCACCCTAAAAATTGAACCATCTGATAAATCAATTTTACTCTTATTTGAAAACCGCTGCCGACCTAATCTTTGTGGGTCGGTTGATGGTTGACAACCGAATATTTGATTCCGGAATGGGTCTGTTGATGGTGTATACCCGCGCCACCTAGTTCACTTAAAAAAATCAAATTTTAAAGTAAAAATATACACATTTTCCGTGGGTAAACAACAAACTAACCCCCTGTGTTAAGGAAAACCTGCGCCAAATTCCCCTGTATTTTTTTTGTTGCGTAAAACCCCCTGTGTTTTATTTTACTTTGCACAAAATTCCCTTCTCCGTTAAAAGTTAACACTGGACACGAATGTAATGAATGATCGTTTATTCCTTTGATTTTGGCAAACTCTGCCTAATAAGAGAATGTTTATTTTCAAAAAAAAAAAAAAAACTATAGAGGGGTTTTTTTGCAAGTTTTTATAACATAGGGGGATTTAGTGAATATTTTCTACATTACAAGGGAATTTTATGCAAAAATTAATTTATTTGTTAAAATTTCATATTATTTTCTGTAATTAAGTTGAACACATTTATTCAACTACAATATCAAAAATAAAATTTAATAGGTGTGGTGAATGTTTTTTTAAAAAATCAATTTTTATATGATATATAATTTATTAATGTATGAATTTTGATTTTTTAAATTATATTATTATTTTATTAGAATTATTATATATGTTTATAATGTATTATTGATTAATTATATGTTAAAAGAGCATAAATAATTTGAGAATTCGTTTCAACTTCAATATCGAGTATTATTTTCTTAGTTTTCATATTTTAAATTTATAGATGTATTCGACTTAATTTAAGAAAATAATTTGAATTGTAAATGAATAAACTATTTTGCATAAAATCCCCTTGTATTGTAGAAAATATGCACTAAATCCGCCTACATTACAAAAAACTTGCATAAAACCCCCTCTATAGTTAACGGCGTTAACTTTTAACGGAAAAGGGGATTTCGTGCAAAGTAAAATAAAACACAAGGGGGTTTTACGCAAGCCAAAATACACAGGAGGACTTGGCGCAGGTTTCCCTTAACATAGGGGGGTTTTTATGATGTTTACCCCATTTTCCGTAATGCTACTGCACGATCATAATTTATCAATTAAAAATAATTAATAGCAACTTGACAAAAAAATATAATTAAGGCGTTGTTTGCAAAAGCATTTTGAAAGTGATTATGATCTTTTTTTTTGCTCATAATCTGTTTTCAGGTGTTCGCAAAATCAACTTTTGCTTTTACTTCTCTTAAAATGATCTGCTTTAAGCTAGTTTTTTAAAAGCACCCATAACCCTACCTTTTCTATTTAAGTTCATTTTTCGAAATAATTGTAAACACCCCCAACTTTTAGAAATAAACACTTAAAACTGACTTAACTCACAATCACTAACTTCTGCTTTTAAATAATCATTTGCAAACACCACCTAAGAAATTCAAAGTAATTAATATAACACACCTTTTATTTTATAAATTTTAATAAAAGTTTACTAATATAGTTGGTTGACCGATAATTATCAACCAACTTTTGATAATATTAGAAACCACCAACCAACCTATTATAGATGAGTTTGTTGAAATTTTCGACCCGATCCAATAGATTGGTTAAAAAAGATATTACCCGCCTAAAAATATGGTCGATAATGGGTCGATTAATGGATAAAAAACAACCTAGTCCCAACCCTATTTATATGAGGGTTTTGTTTGTTCGTTTTTTTTTTTTAATATTACATGACTACCTGCACAAAATGAGAATGTTTACATCTTACTTCTCAATGCTGATCAATGCACATTCATAGTGAACATACACTTTGAGTTGCTAATTGCCTGAGACTTCCCTTCAACGCAGTGTTTGGAAGTGTTTATTTTAGGCTTGTTTTCTTATTTTCATATAATTTTTATACTCGAATTTCATGAAAAACACTTAATCTTAAGAAAAACCTATTTCCAGCAGTTCTAATTATTTTCCGACTCTCGTTGGCGTAGAATGGAATGATGAGAACACGATAAAATTTTCCATATATCGTCTGATATTCTAGTTTGGCATACGTTATTATTCACTTAACTCATAAATTTACTGATATTGAAAAATATTCCTCTTACAATTTTATTTATATATGAGTTTATCTGCATATATAACTTAGATGTAGAAAAGTTGCCCACTGAAAATTTTCAGGATGCGCAAACATTTCTCTAGCTCGTCTGCAAATGAAACTAAATTGTGATGCAAATCTTACATTCAAACATCATTCTTTTTTTTTTCTTTTTTTTTATTCACGATAAATCTTGTCTTCTAGAACGTAAAGTAACCGTATCTTTCGGTGTAGGGATATTTGTAGAAGTTTCACTTTTTGATTATCTCATGTTAGCTAAATGAATAAAAACACTATCCAACTAAATTCATCACAAAAGAAAAGGAAAAAAAAAAGGAATATTGAATTAAATAGAAATGACGAATATATATAGGACATTATCGCATCTCTCATTTAAATACTACGTATATAATAAAATGAGTGGACGAAATCAATTCCACTGACACAAAGATCCGAGCCCAGTGGCTTCTTTAATTTCTTCAGGTGGCAGCCCTAATAACTGAATCCCTAGTTAATATATCTGTTGCCTCATATTCCTAGGTTACTTCGTCAGATAAAAAATACTATAAAAAGAAGTACATCTATCTATCTCTGCTCTGCGCAGCTGTGTGTGTGCGTCCGAATTCAGACATCAAATGGAATTATCTCTGCTGATCTATCCATCATCGTCGTTCTTTGAAGATCTCCACCGCCCACCGCCTCCTCCCGAACCTCCGCCGCCGCCATCATTTTTGTCTATCTAAAAGAAATGCATGATGGTCTACATGTAGTTTTCGTTTTTCATCTCTCATCTCCTGGTTAATTTGTTTGGTGCTAGCTAAATCATATCTAATTTGTTTGATTTTTAATTCCATATATATATATATATATATGCCAATGGATTTAAAAATCAAACTGTATCAATTTTCTTACTTCTACTCATCCAAGTAATAAATAAATATAAATGATCAACTCATATAGGTCGGTCAAAAAAATAAGATCAGAATGTTCTAGTTAGCTTTGTTGAAATTCAATGGTCAATGAGCAAGAGTAACAAAACAAACGGTTACTCTTTTCATTTTTATTCTCCAAAAAAATTAATATTCTCTAAGTATCAACAACTAATAACCAAATATGACAGCCAAAACCACCAAAAGTTGATGATTAATGAGAAAAATACAATTTACAGAAAATAAGGAAAAAAGAAAACATCACAATGAAAGAGGGAAATTCAATATGCACTCTACGATTACATGAATATAATCGTAGGGGGAATCATTGAAGTGTTTTTTTACCTACTATCAAGAATCTCAATTCATTAAGTCCTCAGAAACATAAACAAGTTATAGAAGACACGAAAATAAAACATACCAATGAAAAGGCCAATCGATATATACTTCAAGACCCTTTAAATTGCTCTTGCCTCGTTTTCACTCGGTAGTGAGATTCAATACCTTATGGTAAAAATAAATAAGATAACTAGAGAGATAAGCATAAGGCAAACATAAACTATAATTTCTTGCCGTCTTTCTAGTTTAAATCAGAGCCCTCGAGAATTATTCTTGTATGAAATATAACATCAAATATAAAGAAAATGTGCAAGTTCAACAAAAAATTAAGTAACATTAAATGATAAATAGTCCTTGAGGCCCTAAACACAAAAACGAAATATTAGGCTTACAAAGAACTATAATCGAAAGAAAAAACTACCTAAAAACTTACCGACATTGGCTAGCTTTAAAGCCATAGGTAATTATCGACATGGTACTTTTACTTGTAGAAAATTGACCTTAGTACCGTCAAAATTATAAGAACATAGACATCAAAACACACATTCATACAATACGGAGGGTTGCAGGCAATGAGAAAATTGAGTGTTTCTAGATTCCCAATGTATAGAATACATTTTCCTGCTAAATGACACATATATAAATTAAGACAAAGAAATAGAATTACATTAGAAGCAGAGACATTCTTTGTTGGTGAAAGAAGAGAACAAATGATAAAATTCTAATTTTTTTTCTAAACATTCATGACAAACTAGTATTTTGCTTAAATTGTTTCATTTATTCAGCATGAACGAATTAAAATTGCTAAATTCCAATTTAAAACATATAAAATGTTAATTTATTTAATGTAATACATTTTCTCCTCCTCCCACAATTACCATGTCCCATGTCGAAGAACAACCACGAGGATAAATAGCCAACATAGCCATATAGAACTATTTATCAAAATAAATTAGGGGTTTAGGGTTGGGATTTCAATTATTAGGATAAAAAGAGTTCGGAAGGATGGGCGTTGAATCCATTACCGTAACAAAGGGAATTGATCGGATTACCTTCGAACAAAGTGCTTTTTTCTTCTTCTGCATCGTTGCTTCTTCTGTGCCGTTGCTCGAAGAAAAACCACAGACTAGGTTTTTTTTTTCTCTAACAATAGAGTTTGAGTTGGGAACTCGATCGGCTGGGGTGAAAATAATAAATAGAACCAGAAAATCCTTTATTTATTTATTTATTTATTTTTCTCAAGTGTCCCTATATGTTTCAGAAATAAGAATAAAATTAAATGTCCCAATAAATTATACTTAAGGCATTTATAAAAATATGCCTCTAAAAGTTAAATGTCCTTATATGTTTTATAAGTACGAAAATTTTGTAAATGTCCCTAAAAATTATATTTGAGGCGTTTATAAAAAAATGTCCCTAACAAAGTGTCGCAATATCTACATTTTGTTGTAGTGTGTTTTTTGATTTGCATGTTTGGTTTGTGGCGTCGTCTATCTAAATTATTTATTGTTAGTTACCCATCAAATTTAGGGGTTTTCTGAAACTACTAAAATGATAATTTTCATGTAAATTTTTAACCCCATGATCCCATTTGAATATACTTATTTGGATCTTCCAGTGAATGCATATAAACACCGAACATGTTGTTTGTATCATTAAATAAAGATAGATTTGTCGTTTTATAACACTATATTTTTACTAAATTTAATGATTTTCTTGTTTTAATTACGTGAACGTTTTCTTAAGAATAAAGTTTACAAAATCTCACTATTTCTATGTTTTTTGGACAGACATCGTGTTATGGTTGTGGCCCAATGTGTTTGGGCCTATAGCTCAATATCTCAATTAATACACACACACTTGTCTATGGGAATGGCCCAACCAGAAATAAGCCCATCAGTGGGAATGTGCTAGAAGGCTCAATATGAACCCTTGGATTAACTTGATCTTGGCCGTTCATTTTGACTGACTCTCCCTCTCCCCCTTGTACTCTCATTTCCCGTTTTGTGCCCTAGACAATCTCTGTTCTCTCATTTGGTCCCCCTCTGCTCTTTTCCTCTTTAGCTCCAGCAACCATGGGCCATCCGCCGCCGTCGGCCGTGCTTGTCCCTTCAACGGCTAACTTTGACTGGAGCTCCTATTTAATGCGGGGAGATGAGTGGTAGAGGGTAAGACCTAGAAAAATAGCCTAATTTCAATTACCTTGCCTCTTTCTGTGAGTTGGGTCTGTGGTGAGTGGGTGAGGTGATGAGTGCATCATCTTCTTGGTCTTACCTCGAATCTGGGTGGTTTAGGGTTTTGAGAGGAGAGAGGGATTGGAACTCTGTGATTGGTGCAATCCTAGATTGTGTGTGTGTGTAACAGTGGAGACCTTTGTGAATCTCTGGTGTGAATCGGTTTGGAAGACTGAGCTGTCTTCAATTTCATTCTTCTGTTTATACACCTATTTTTATCCTTTGTGTTTATTTACTAACATCACTTCTGAGTTTGTTTGTAAGTTTCTTCATGGGGAAACCCAACACATCGCGACACAGTTTATAAAGTCTCTATTGTAATTAATTTATTCTTGACCAACCGATGAAGTTTTGGTAGAGAAGAGTGTCGAGCAATATTCTTGCCAGCGGCTCAACAATGGTAATACAAACTTCCATGTGGCACAGTTACAAGGGGCATACTCAAGCATTATGAGTGATACTCTGCATCTTACGCTCCACGTAAATGAAAACCCTCTTATTTTTCCTTTCCTGGTCAATACCACAAAATCTATGCACACTTTTGAGAACAAAAACATATTCGAAATCCTTCTTTGAATCAGCATGTTTGGAATAATGCCACAAATATGAAAAAGTGGTACACATTTTCTATCTATCTATCTATCCTATCACTTGAATCTTTGCATATCTGATTTTTTTGAACCTAGTGTGGATAATCTTCCTTTACTCAGATAGCCCTTGTTTGGTTTTTTTTTTTTTTTTTCTTTTTTCATTGTTTAGGCATTGTCTACCGCATAAACTATAAAATCACTACCAATTAGAGTAATTGATGCGAATTCTAAGAAGGATATTGATGATATTGCTGATGTTGCATTTCCCAAAGCACCATGGAATAAGAAGGTTCTACTTTGCGATAAAAGTGATGCAGAGTATCACATATACTGTTTGCGTCCGCCCGTTGTCACTGTGCCTCAAGGAAGTTGTTTTTGCCCTTTTTGTGCCGACATGAATATGGATCGAGATTCTCCTTCTACCAAAACACCGGTCGGTCAAGAGAAAATAAACTGAGGAGAGATTCCATAAACTTTTGCATTTTTTTTATGGATGGTACGAACTTATAATGGATCATAAACTGAAGAGCAAAACAATTATGAAACACGGTATATGGAATATCTAGTGCATATTGAAATAAACCGCGTTGTGTACGTCTGGGTTTGTAATATTTCATCAACACAAGCAGGAAATGTGGGCAAAAAAAAATCTGGCATTCATTCTGTTACTGTACATTCTAATGCTTCGACCTACACGGGCTTCATTAACAGGCCCATGGGCCTGGATATAGACTGTAGAAACTATGACTATGGGATCGGTGGGCCCGGAACACAGCCCGTGTCCGAGGGTGGTTCACAGCTGGTGGTGCCGCCGTCTGATTGGCGGAGAACTGTTGCATTTTGGTGGTGAAATGTGTCTGTACGTGGTTCAGCATTTTGGTGGTGAACGACTTTGTTTATATACATCTTAAGTTAAGTACTACATTCAATATCATATGAGGGCTTTGGTTTTTAGGAAATAAAAATTACAGAACTAACAGCACAAAATGAAATCCTTACATCCTACATCTTTTTTTTTTTTTGAGTAAACATCCTACTTCTCAATGATAACTATATGCATATTTATAGTGAATATTATTACATGGGTTTGGAACTGGATTGGTCGGTCGATTACAGGCCTAAAAATTGAACTCTCCGACAAATCAATGTTGCTCAAATTTAAAAATTATTGCGACCCAACCTTCGTGGGTCGATTGATGATTGACAATCGAATATTTAATTCAGAAATGGGTTGGTTGACGGCTATCCATATTCTACAATAAAAGCTTTCACATTATATCAAGTGTCCCTACTCCAATGATCAGTTATTAGTTCAAAATAATTAATTGCCATTCGACAAAAAATACAATCCCGTAAATTCAAACTAATTATAAACATGCAAAATTATGCTATATTATCATAATCACGCATCAGTTCCTAACAATTAATTGCAAATTAACAATAACTACTTCAAGGTTCAAACTCCAACCTCTTGCAAATTTAAAAAAAATAAAAAAAAATCACACCTTAAATTTAGAAATTACAACTATATTTTATTATTAGGGATTATTTTAGGGACCGGATGTTAGAGAATATTATATTATAGAACTCTCCTAATATTAGGATTCTAGTATGATTGAGTTACCTAGATTAGTTAGGATTTAGTTACCTAGTCAAACTCTATTACCTTACAATATTTCTCTATATATATTCCATGTAATCAACCCATAACATAATGGGGGTTTCTATTCTATTCTTCCTATATGGTATCAGAGCACCAGGTTTAGGTTTTTTAACCTAGCCGCCTTTCTTCTTCATGGCGGTGAAAACCTAGCCGCCTTTCTTCTCTATGGCGGTGACCACCCAATTTTCTCCCTCCCCCGGTGGTGGTACTCTAATATAACTATCCATCAAGCTAATTACATCTTGGTGCATAACCCCTCCATTTTGAATTTATTTTGACAGACCTCCCTCGCCCACCATAAAATACTTCAAAATGCCCTTTTAAAACCAATTTTAAACCTTAGCCAACTCACAGTCGTCTCTCTCTTGCTCTCTCAAATTTCAGATTCAAATCATACCCCCATAGATCTCTAACCGACGAAGTTGCTTTCCGGAGTCATAACTCTCCCTCTGGTGGTCGGAATTCGATGGTTTAACAACCGTTAGATTCCTCTCGTCGAGCACTTTCTTTTGGTGGTGGTTTCATTCACTTTGGAGCACTCGATCTGTTCCTGCAATTGTTTTACAGTCGGCGCGTATTTCAACGACGGTGGGTCTTGCCGGATGTGTAATGTGTGTTCCGGCAGTCGGAATTTGACAAGCTACCCACCTTTGTATTCCTCTCGTCGAGATCTATATTTTGACAACAATTTCTTTCATTTTTCTATTGTTAGTTTTATTTATGTATTTTTTCATTTGTGAGCACGGAACCTTGGGTGGTAAGCGGCGGCTAGGATTTTGGTAGGAGGCGCTTGGGGTGAGGAGCTATTAGTGGTTTGTTCTAAAATTCGTAGCATTTCGCAGCTATGTCTTCTCTCTCTCTCTCTCTCTCTCTCTCTCTCTCTCTCTCTCTCTCTCTCTCTCTCTCTCTCTCTCTCTCTCTCTCTCTATCTCTCGATCTCTTACTGTTTGTTGATTTTTGAGTGTTTTGATGTTTCTTCATTTTTTGTTGATTTGCACTAAAATAATTTAGTTGTTTTGATTTTGCAATAGCGGCTTAATAAAAGCCATAGATCCTCTCTTTGAAGGTGTCAAAAAATTTGGTTGAAGTTACATCTACTTCAAATTACAGTGTTCAACTGACTGTATACATTACTAGTTACATAGAGTAACATGTAAAGTTACATATGCATATATTTAATTTGTGTATCTTTTATTTGTATATTTTTACTAGTTATGAGGTGATTTATAATATAAATATTTAAATTTTAATTTTTTGTTGTTGGGGTATGTCTTTTGTATAAGCTAGTATGTGTGTGTACATAATTGATCGACTAAAAATATTAGCTAAAAAAAAAGAACATAACTACGAATGACTATAGTTTACTACAATACCTACATATAGTTATTTTCAGTACAGGAAACATATTGATTTTAAATAAAAAAAATTAAAAAAAAAAGAAAAAATTAAAAATAAATCTTAAAAAAATTAAATATATTAATTAAAAAATAATAAATTAAATAAACATGTTTTTAAAAACAAATATAAATATAAATAAATCAGCGAAAATGCTAAATGCAGAACCAGAGAAATGATGAATGTAGTTTGGCGGAAAATTGCATATAAAGGCAGTATAGTACTATCG